ATTCAAACCTGAGCCAAAAAACATCCAAAAAATCGAGAATGAAAGAATACAATAGCAAATAGCCAAACGCACAAACGGGAAAATAATATGGATTAGAAGATAGAGAGGGGTGCGTCGCGCGACAAGGAAGAAGTAACGACGCGAGAAGAAGACGAAGAAAATGCGGCGGAAGAAGCAAATGATATGTAGGGTTGGGTGTGTGGTTTATATTTTAAAATGAATGGGCTGATTTTCTGGGCCGATTGACGAGCAGCATTTGGTCCGGAAGTGGAATCACCCGGACTGCTGAACTCTTTTGGGCAGCTAGACATTTATGGCGCTATTGTTTAGTAATTAAAATCAAACATATTTTGACAATGTTTTACTCCCTCAGTCCTAAAATTAAGTTCTTATTTAACTTTTTACGATCTGTTATATGACACTTTGATCATTAATATCTCCATTTATTTAATATATTAGTTTTATTTTCATGAATGTAATATATTTTAAAACTATGATTCAAATTGAATTTGTTGATACTAAATTATTATAAAAATTCAATATATTTTTTCGTAATATATCATCAAGGTTTAAAAACTTTAAATGCTAAAATCAAAATAGGAAATTAATTTTAGGACGAAGTGAGTATAAATTAAGTTTGCTAGACCACACACACACACAGATATATATATATATATATATATATATATATATGTATGTATGTATGTATGTATGTATGTATGTATGTATGTATGTATGTATGTATGTATGTATGTATGTATGTATGTATGTATGTATGTATGTATGTATGTATGTATGTGTGTGTGTGTGAGTGTGTATGATATTCAAATAAGTGTGATATTTGTATATAGTAATTAAATTATTCAGTTAACCTTAATTGTGAAATAATTTGGTCTTTTAAACAAATCTCGTGCGATTAAAAAAAAATTGTAAAATTTTTATACATATTTAGTAACGAATATATATTTAATACTACCTCCGTCTCACAAAGATTTCCACGTTATGACTAAAGTTGAAATAAGAAAAGGATAATTTTGTATTCACTTTCAAAAAATATCCTTGATGTAATGAGTAAATGTAGTATGTGATGTGTAGATTATTAAGAAAAAAATACGATATGATAGGTAGAGTTTATAAAGGTAAGGGATAAAAGTGGTTTTTAATATAATTGGAAAAAATATTTAATATGCATTTTTTTGAAACATGTAAATTTTTTTGGAACAGAGGGAGTATATTTTTTCTACTTCATTACATTATATAATTGCAATGTATGATTAATCTTTGAATACATAATAGTTTACATTGTACATAATGCTTTACATTTATTCTTTTTATATAAACGCGAGAAAAATTGCAACGTGTATATCGTTTCTTAGAAATAATTTTACCAAAAATCGCACATTTTTAAATATTTTTAATCTTTGTATACATAATAGTTTACGTTTATTCTTTTTATGTCAATAATAGAATAA